TAATTCAATTAATTTCTATATGTGTTATCTGATGCATGTAAAGTATATATATATATATTGAAACGAATCTTGAATTTTAAAACACTCTTTAGCTGTTGGTGCTGTCAATCACTGTTTATGAGGTTCCCTTCGAATGATCTAGTGGAATTTAATTTAGGAAGCAAAGAAACATTAATTTCTTTTTTCCGTTCTGTGCACAGTAAATGTTTTTGTTTATTTCTTTGTAATGATTTGTTTAAATTTGTTTTTGACTGCTGTTAGAAATATAAATCTGCGCGTTTTAACAAAACTTATTGCTTCAAAATCCAAGCAAAAATTTATAATTTCAATCGGGTTAAAATTTGTTGATCAAATATAAACAAATTGTCTAGATTTAAGGCAAGTAGATTTTTTTTATTAACAAAATGTACTGAAAATCGATATTCGATTGATGATTTAACGTATACTGTTTAACGTCCCTCTTGAAAATTGTTCAATCATATGGTCACCTACGTCGGTGAAGGGATTCTTACGACCTATGCTCGGCACTTAGGGCCATCGAGCAGCAAGGGTTCCTTAGTTTAACATATCAACGACTTCTGCCTTCCTACGTTTTTAAAGGCAAAACAAAAGGCCCTATACTACATATAAATGCCGTGTGTTTATCGAAGAAACAGTCAATACCTATTCTTACGTCCTAGGATTGATAATCGAACCCGGACATCCCAATCACTAGGCTAAAGCTCTACCACTAGGCTACTGTGATCGGTGACGATATTCGTTATTGATATTGATGCATTCATTGACAGAGTCAAATAAATAAAAGAAATCTGCAGACACCTTAATTTTATACTTATTATAGCCTTCAAAGTTTCTTTCCTACTCTAATAATATTAAATATATCACTAAACTCTTGTGAATTTAATAGTCGAGCCAGTTAGAAAAAAAAAACGTTTTTGTATTTTCTTTATCCTGGAAAATCATTTTTGTTTGTCGGATGTAGAATTTTTCACAAGCAACTTGAATTCTTAGACAATCGACTTGAACGCCTTTAAATCCGATGCCACTAAACCTATTTACATTTTCTCTTCATCATTTAATTTTTCATTTAACTTGTCCTGAATAAATATATATACATTAACTTGAATGGATCTTAATAGTTTATCTGATTTACCTATACCAATATGTGGAAAAATGAACAAAAACGCTTTCAAGATTGATACATTACCGGTGAGAATTAAGCTTTTCTCCTTTTTTTCTGAAACTGTTTTTATATTCAGTTTTATATGACGCTATGGATATCTGTTATGCAGAAACATTTAAGGACAGATAATACAAACATTTACAAACAATAATGGGAAAAAAAACTTAGAAAGAAATAGTTAAATTTTAATAAAAAAAACAAAAACAAATAGAGACAAATCACATTCAGTAAATGTTAGGTGTACACAAATTTCAGAATATGTTAACTTGGTGCTTGAAAGTTTGATATTTACTTTAGGAAATTTTAAGAGCAAGAGAAAAACAACAAAAAATCAGCAATATCATATAGGCTGATTTTTACTACTTATCTTTTCTTAATAAAATTCACCTGGCTTGGTAAATTTTACTTAATTTTGTATTACACTTATCACACCATTGTTTATTCCAGTTTTAAGGAGAAAAAATTCTAAGAACCACCCACTTTTCTAAACTTGTGATATAATATTAAATCTTTATTAGGGAAAATATTAATGTTTGTATTATCTGTCCTTAATATGAAATAATTTATATGGGTCACTTATAAGTGACATTCGAAACTGAAACTTTTCAAGGTACTCCCGACTATTTGCTTACCAACACGTGGTTTCATTGTGTAGTTCCTGTATGAATGTTTTGTTACCATCATTCTTTCCTTGTGTATTCTTTTATAGATTTAAATATATGCCATTAAGGCCAAGGGCCCTTTAAAGGTTTCATTTTTGTATGCTATCTTTTAAAAAAGGCGATGATTTTGAGTGCAAAACTATTTGTTATTTAATTAATACTTTGAAGACAAGAAATATGGAATTTTAAAATAAACCTGTGAAGAAAGATTATCAAGATGAATAATGATTTTAAAAATTTATCCTTTTAAGTTAGTTTTACTGTTAAGACATGCACACACGCAGACATTCATCAACGCAGTTTATGGATGGCAGTTGTGATCTGCATGATTTTTTTGCAAAATTCCTCGCATTTTCAAAAGATTTTTTTCTGTATTACTTGTAAAGTTTTTCAATATTGTTGTCATTTTGATAATCTATTTTATAAAAATACACGTATTAATGAAATAAGCAGGGATCAGAGTTTTTCCTTTCTGATAAGTGATAGATTTAAGATTTGTTTTTTTTTATACAAAGTTCTGATACTTTAACCTATCGACTCGTTATTGATTTTTCATTTAAATTAAACCCATGCTGAGCTATGTTATGGACCAATATGGAAAATGTTATCTTAGCACTTGTATTACTTTACTGAAAAATGTAAAAAAAAAATCAACTTCACTAAAACTCTGTTGTAAAGGTTGTCAATAAAACCCATGTTACATGTATGCAGTCCAGGATCAACCCCCAGCACTTTTCAAAATTTTCACTTTGCAGCTAGGGTAAGACTGTCCGAAAAATATGAAAGGGCTCTTATTGTTGTTACTTTTCCGAACTACCTAGATATGACGTCACAGTAGAGTATGACGTCAAGTTTCTGCATGCTAGCGCTAACATGTCGGGGATAATGTCATATTTTTTTATATTCCCTTAAATGGCGTGTACGGTTTGGATATTTTTTTTTTTATTTCAGTGAGGCTTACTTTGTTGAACATTCGAAATTAAAATAATCTTGTTCCTTTAAGTTGCCTGATATGCAGACATTCAAATCATAGCGGAAAACCTAATTTGAAACGCTCCTCTAATACGCCAGATGACTCAATTAAAATTTATGAATCTGATTTATTTAAGGAATGAAGCTAATTCCAACTTATGTTATCCGATATAACATAACTTGGGGCAGTTTACGCTTTATAAACCGCGAAGCGGTTTATAAGAAAGCGTAAACTGCCCCAAGTTTTGTTATATCGGATAACATAAGTTGAAATTAGCTTCATTCCTTATAATTTAATTTCAGAGTAGACAATTAGGCAATATTTCCTCCGGAAAAAGGCTTCAAATTGAGCATTATTTTAAAAGTAACGTCAAGCGGAGTAATACGTTAATGACGTAACTCATTGTGACGTAGGCAAGTTATGTTATCCAAAATATTATATGTTCCTCCGAATGATGCAGCAAGTGAAATTAAATTATATTTGACTAACATGAGTGATTTACAAGGGTTAATGGATAATATTCTGTTTGAGTTTACAAGAGAAGTTTGACCTCTTATTGAATTTTGCTTGGGAATTGTATGTAGTGAATCCATTTTTTGTATAAAATGCGATGATGGTGGAAAATACCTCTTCTTATGTTGGTAAGTTGAATTTTTCGTCAATTATTTTCTTAAGAAGTAAAAAAAAAATCAGGCCTGCCCTCAGCTCTTTAAGTGTACCACATATCACGATGAATTGATGTATTTTTTACAACAATTTGGTTTATTACTTGTGCTGATGCGTTTTTGTGCAACATCTAAGAATATCAGATATGTCCATCACGTGATCAACAGAGTCAGGTAAGGTAACAGAAATGCTTTACCACGATACCAGATTTAACTCTTTTCTCAATTAGATTTCACATCCAAACAAATATAGCATATTAACATAAAATCAAGGTCGAAATAAAATGTTTATTTTCAATGCGTTTGAAGCCTTTGGACAGCCTCATCCTAACTGCACATATCAGCAATAGATATTCGATACTTCTGTCCAAACAATATAGTTTATATCCTTGCACTTTTGATTTAAATCTCAAATACGCCTATCGTTTTAGCGATTTTCTGTAAGTTCTGCGTCCCTGTCAAAATCAAATGCTACAAGATAAATTCATTATACAGTGTGAGTTATTTTTTTTTTTCGTTTTAATGAAAGATTTAACAAAAACAAGCAATTATTCTTTATTTCATTTAAGCATGTATTAAATTTAATGTCCGTGAATTTAGTCTTTTGGGTCACTCTTGCTGATTTGTAAAGGCTAATGACGTCATGTTATCAATTACTCAACGATTTCAAATGTTGTAACATTAAAAGATATCTAAATTACTAAAAAAAGTAAATTCAAGATGATCTGAACGCATCATAAAGTCTTTAATTTTTCTTTTTGGTCAATTGTTCATTTTTTAATAATGTTACAATTACAGTTCTAGTACATTGTACCACGAATTAACTGCTTAAATTATCTTTTAAAATCATTTTTGCATAATGAATTTCTTTGTTCCAAAAGGTACATGTATGCACTCCTTTTTTTCTGAAAAAATACATGCATTTCGATAACATCTTTCATTTCATTTAAGTATATTGTATATTCTCTTGTTTTTTATGTATCTCGTTAGCTTATAAGTCCCATACAGAAGGAATCTGATAGGACAATAGGTTTCTTATTTAATGGTCTTTACCTCTCTAGATGTTTAAATTTGTTTTCTGCAATTTCTTTTAGCTGGGCTGATTTATGTTATTTGATTGTATCTTGCATTAGTAACAAAGTTGATTTAATGGTTTTCATGGAAGTGTAATGTTTTCCATTTTTTTAATTCGAACTACAAAGCACTACGTAAAAGAGAACTTTAATTGCTATATGTAATGTTATATCCTCATTTTTGTTGGTAAATTAGGCTAAATATTGATTTCATGAAAATATATATTTAAAAAATCAAACATTTGAAGCTTAAAATTTATCAAAACAAAAACTATGTAAGATAGCATTTTATATCCCTTTTCTGCGAAGAGAAGGAAATGAATATTACTAGGAAATTCATATAAAGTCAGACAGTAAGGCGTTTCCTTTTTGCATAAAACCACGTGATCGACTTGTAAATAAATACAAGTTCGACCAAAACGCACTGCATATGTTTTATTTCATTTCACTGAGAGGTCATCCGAAAAAAAAAACTTTTAATCGGAAAATATCTTCTCATTAAGGTAATGTATTGTTTGTTTTTATTTTTATTTTTAGGTAGGAGAATATAGTAAGGAAACATAGCACACACAAACGTTCACATCTTCCACATAGATAATTACATTGTACATCTATATTTCTTTCTTTCTTCTATGAATTTCTAAATGTAATTAAGAAATTTAATTGCTTAAAATGTAAGAATGCGTTCTTGACATTATCCTATGAAACTCTCAAGTAAGCAAGAATATTTCATGTATTCATAAATTCCTCAAAAAAAACATAGTTATAGATAAAACAGTAAAAGCAAATTTTTGCATTTATTCCCCTAATTTTGTGTTTTGGCCAAAAATTTATTGAACTAGAGACGTCCTCATAAAAAAGCTCATAAACTAAAGAAAATCTGATTGGTCTGAATATAGAAAGCCAAAGGTACGTTATTTCGTTAATAATATGAAGAAACATGCTATGGCTTATTATTACGACAATATTGAAACATATTTAAAGGACTAAAGCAAAAATAATAATAAAATTTATTGGAAATTCATGAAAATTTTACTCAAAATTATACTATTTAACAGGATACCACCTTTTGAAACATACGATGGTAAAGGTGATAAAAGGTTTACTTACTTGGACCTAGACAAAATTGAAGCCTTAATTTCTCATTTTACATCTATTTTTACTATTGATGATTAAAACGAACACTACCAAACATGTACAATATGTGTAGTAGCACATTTTGTAAAATATCAATGGAAAACATGAAATATCATTCTTTATTTCAATACTTCCTGTGAACAAAGCTATAGGTCACGACTGTATAAGTCATAAAATGTAAAAATCTACTCTTCAGTCTGTTGTTGAACCACTCACTATGTTATTAAACAGGTCAATGCCAGATAGAGTATTTCTATCCTTCTAGAAAATAGCTTATGTTATTCCTCTTTTGAAAAAAGTTGACCCCTCTTTGGTTTCAAATTATAAACCTGTATCGCTGTTATACCGTGTAGTCAAATTATTGAAATGATTATTTCTTAACATGTGTACAATTGAAGAAAAAAATGAAGATGTTTATCATTATTTTTTGCTTGAACAAAGAATGTAAATGCTAGTAAAAAATCTTTTTAACCGCCTTCATGCTTGAAGAATTGGTTACAGTTGACACTAACCTACTATTATAGGGTGAAAGAGATTTTCCTGTATCAACTAATATTGATATTTTTGCTGCTGTCCATAGATTTATTATTGAAACATGTAGATTTTAAATTGATTTGTTATAAAGGTATATCACTTGGCAATATTAGAATTATTATCTTTAAATGTATTATTTGCATGACAAAATAATGTTATATTTATTTAGAGGAACATGTTAGTTGCAAGAACTTGTTTCCAATCCATTTGACTCGTTCATTAAAATCTAATAGTGTACATGTATGATCTCATAAAGGAGCCCGGAGTTCGAACCAATGTACTGCAAGATTACTTCCGATTAAAATGAATTATTTCTGACACAGTTGAGTGAAAATGATTTGCAAATACACAATATAGTAGTTTACTATTAAATTCAAAAATCAAAAGTAACATTGGTTCCCATTTACAAAAATACTCTCTAAGTTTATTTCTTTTTGGGCAGAATTATGATAACTATGTTTAAAAAATACCTTCAGAAGGCTGAAGGTGAACAAATTACCAACAAATGAACCATCAGATATAACTGAAATTTTTAGATATGATAACTTTTACGGTTAACTATCATTTGACAAAAGAAAATTCCATACATATTAGTTTTAAAATTTGATCAAATTGTTATATCTTAATATTGAGCACTTTTCTTAGGGTAGATCAAAATAGTCTTAAAATAGCCACGAAAACCCAGATTCTTTAAAAGCAGTTTCCAATGTCTGTCCATAGCAATTTGAAAATCATTTTAATTTAATTTTTAAAAAAATGGAGGGGGGATTGGAACCAGTACATCAATGTGTTATAGAATGTATCTTTAAAAAGCCTGAAATATGTTTGTTATTTCTTTTGAATTACAGATGGTGGATTGGATACCCGTTGTTTCCCAGACAAAGTCTGCAGTACAAGCTATTTTTGGTGATTGTGAAGGAGCAAAACGAACCCAGGAGAATTTTTCTAGACAGTGTCCAGTTGTATCTCAGGTGAGATCTGCAGTGGAGGCAATTGCTGGTGACGAGGAAGCTGCACGAGAGACTCAATATGAGTTTGGGCGAAATGTCAGTGGAATAGCTAATGCGATTCCTGTGGTCGGTCATGTTAAAGGCGCCATACACTATGCTGTGGGAGATAATGAAGGTGGAGATAATGCTATGAAATCTGCATCTCGCACAGTCGGTGTAATGGCTGGTGGCGCTGCTGGTTTTGTCACCGCTGGACCACCTGGGGCCGTCCTTGGGGGTATAGCAGGCGGGGATGCAATGGATTTGGTGATTACAGGAGCCGATTCTGCCGTTCATGGTGAATTTAGACCATATGGCTATATCTCCCAGATGGAGGAGATTTCTGAAAACCCGACTGACCCTGGCAATTGGTTTGATACCGTTGCAATGGTAGCAGGAGATGGTGCTTGTGGATATGCAGCAGGTAAAGCGACTATTCCAGCGAAGAAGTTTTTAGAAAAAAGAGCGATTCGAAATCAATTTGAAGCCCAGAGAAACCCTCTTGTTGAAAACGTAGGCATGTCTGATGCAAAGGATTTCGTTAACGCTGCTGATAGAATGAGAGATGTTAGAACAAAATATGATGTTCCTGAAACCAAGCCCCACGTAACAACTGTCGTTCGGGATCTGGAAAATAATAAGTTATATGAGGGTCACAATCAACAAATTAGAAAATTTTGCAGTAGTGATAAATTTGCTGATGCTGAAAAAATGAGCAATTATACCAACCCTGGAGAACCAACAAATTTACAGAAGAGAGTTCCACAAGCTGTACCTCCTTTGAAACGCAATCCAAATTCGTGTGCCGAACAGCGAGCATACCATAAATATTACAAAGAAAATCCAAATGGTAACCCACAGAATACCCATGCTGTCAGTGTTCGATATAATAGAAAGGAAAATGAATTCCAAGCAGTTAGACGGTGCGACAATTGTGTTGCATATGGCGAAGGGATGGGTGAGGTTCCCGGAGATATGATAAATGGTCTACACGTTCCAAATCACCCAGGAATTGGGAAATATTCCTACTACAAGGATGCTGGTAAGGGATTGGCAATAGCTGGTGGGGGTGGAGCACTTGAGATAGGATCGAAATCAAAGAACCATGTGAATCACAAAAAAAAAAATTGAAAAAGAACAATAAACAGTAAAACTTATTTAAACTTGGTTTACTTATTAGTTATAGTAGTTTGGTTTGGAATTTGCATAATAACCTTTGTTTATGTCTTTATGGTTTTTATGTACATTCTTCAGTGTCAACTCATTAATTAGGATTTTAATTGTTTTTGATTATATGTGATTTTCAATTGTGATTTCCTGAAAAAAAGACGTAAAAAATACGAAAAAAATCAATAAGAGCCATTAAAATGCCTATGAATTAAATCTTTTCCCTTAATTTTTTCTATAACAATTTCATATGTTTTTATATATGTATATATTTTTTTATGTATGCTTCTTTTATCTCATACGCTTATTTTAAGAAACAATTTCGTCCTAACACATACCTGAAATGGTAGAATTTTTGGATTTCAAATATTTATATCAAAAGTTGTTTTCTCAGTTATCATCAATTATTTCCAGGTCGGAAAAATAAAATAATAAAATTTATGATTTGTGGTTTATACTTTAAATGGATGGATACTCCTTCATAAGCTGTAAATGGAATGTTTTGCTGTATTTTTTTTTTTATATACATTTTTACATATTTTTGTATTTCGATCTCTTCTCTATTTATTAATTTAGAATGTCAAAATAAAGTGATATCAACAAAAGTAGATTTTTTTTAATGAAGAGTGCTAAAAGTTTGTTAGAAAAATATTTTATTTTATTGGCAGTTATTTATCTGATTACTTTATGGACTTGAACGACTTTTTTTGAGAAATATTTTTTTCACTTTAACTAGAAAGAACAAAGGGTGGTATTGGCTAAAAATGTCGCGTTTCATATCTGCTCCGCTCAAAGCATTTTAAAAAGTGTATGCATTGAAAAAAAATAATGCTCAATGCTGCACCGTTCATGGCAAAATGTAGTTTGAGATTTTACGCGACCTCATTATTTAAACATGCTAGCTACGCGTCCTCTGAAATCGCATACTCTGCATGAAGGTCAATGTTAAGAAGTTTCTATTGTTTTTAATATTTTATTGTTCCCTCTAGGAGCATCTAAGCTCTAGTTGATTGCATAAAAACAGATGTCCAACAGAATTACTGGGTAAATAGGAATTGCTAGAAATATAGTAGTGTCTACTCTGTGGTAGTTCAGCTTACGTATAACAGTTGTGTTGCAGTGGTTATGGTTCTTAAAAAAAGTATCAACAAGATCAATAAATTGTAAGATAAAATGAAAAAGAAAGTTTACATTAGCTCAAGGGAGGGTTAAAGATAAGAAATAATTTCAATTTCATCGTTTACGTTTCATTACAGCGCCAAAACACCGCTTCTTTATTACCCGTCTACAATCTCTCTGTGTGATGTAGATTTATACACAACGGATTGGATCCAAAAAATAGTATTTATAACTTCCAATCAAATGTCAATTATTTTTGCATAGAGTATCAGTAATTCTAATGAAATAAAGGGGCGTGTGGTTTTACTTTAAATGTTATTTATTTAATATGTTTGAGCGGGGAGTGGGCGAGGGGTCCACTTCTAAAGAAGTACATGTATAAAGTACACGCAGTTAACGTGACAAAAATGTCAATATAATAGAATTTAATTATTCTTAAAAAATAGCATAGAAAACTATTCTTCAAGTGAACATGAGGAATTGATTCACTCTTGTCTACACAATGAACTTGAAAAGAAAGTTGTTTTTCGTTCTCCTTCTAATGGTTATTACAATATCTACAAATGAAGACTTAAGGACGCGATTGCAAGGCGTCACGTGATCACGTCATTTGGTGAATAAAAAGAAAATGTTTGCTGTAACTATTTCCGGAATAAGGAGCGTCATATGTTTGCGCTCATGACAAAAGGAGTTTATTTTTCTAAAGTAGAGAAAGAATAAGATATTAAAGATTGTTACGATGCACTGAGTGTGTTGGTGAAAGTTGATCTTTTTTTTTATCTACGTGCATGTTTTACGATTTGACACGTCTATCTATTGTATATCTCTGAACATTGAAACCTATTTCATTTAAAATAAATTTTATTTATATCTTGAGGTTAATATCTTCATTTCAAAACTAGAATCTTATTTAAGATTGTTGTTTATCATAGGATCTTCATCTATACATGTATAGATAATTTCCAATAAAAGAATTAGACGGCGTGGTTTACTAGATACATGTATAAATATTGATGAACGAAGGCGATTTTGATAAACGTGTTACGCCGGCGAAGACCACTTATACCTAGAAGACATAGCTTTAAAAAAATTAATTTATCGCAGAGGATTTGGTTTTCTACTATAAAATCTTTAGCATTTTCCGCAGTGACATCGACCGTGTAAACATACATGCAATCATCGTCGCACATATTTTCTAAACGATTGTTATAAAATGTTAAAATATGCGTCGTATTGAAAAGCAACACTTTTCTTCTGAAAGAATACCAGGGAAGATTTGTACATAAATAAATAAAAGAAATGTGAACTCATCATACTTATGGAAATACATTTGAAAAATGCTCTTTTTTTAATCACATGAACATAGATGTTTTACTCCAGCATTTATCATAAAACGACGGAAAGTTATTTCAATCAATGATTATTTTTGAATCAAAATAGTAGATCTATAGTTTTGACGTCAATTGTGTCATTATGACGTCACAATGGAGATAGCGATCATCCATGTACAGGAGAAAAAGAAGTAGTACTTACTTGAAAAGAATCGGAAGGAAAACTATTTGTAAATAAATGTGAATATTTAGTGAATTAGTGTAATTTGGCCAATTAGTACCGGTATTTATGGATGAATACATTTATTTTTTTTTTAAAAATTAATGCAGTTACAAGTTTTACAAAATAACTTCTTATCATTCAATGTGTTCAAATGTCTGACCCCCCCCCCCCCATTACAGGCCACTAAGAAGAAACATCGCTGAGTGTTCTAAAGCATGAAGTATAAGGCCTTTGAGGACTGTGCACTTTTTTATAATTGTATTATTTATTTATACTGATATAGTAACAAAATGAATGTCTCGGAGATGAAAAACCGAGTTTTAAAAAAGTTTATTTTCGTGACCACTGTCGGTGATAAGTAAGTCATTGTGCTTCACATATAAAATGGGCATCAGCTGCCAGATTTTCAGAGAAGAAAATACAAATAATATTTATTTATCTATACAAATGACCTTTTTTGTCTTTAAACGGATTATGCATATTTAAGGTTCAACAACAAACCATCATATGAAAATCTGTGAAATCTCTTAATATTCTAAAAGGGGGGGGGGTACTAAAATGCGTGTAGCTTCAAAATTAATCTGATTACCTTACTTCATATCTTAACCATAAGTCACTTATAATGACTAGTACAGCATATATTAGTTTTGGTAAAATTCATTGGATAATTTTTTGTCTAGACGTTAAAAACTGCTATTGAGGTGAAAATATTGCTGCAAATTTACAATGAATACTTCCCCAAAAAACAACGTCATTACAACATTTATCAATAGTTTCCAAAACAATTTTTATTATCAATAAATATAAAGCATATTATTGAATATCTGCTGGAAAATATTTAATTTGCTTCACTTTTGTTGCCTGTATGGCATTATAAAACATTCACCTCATAAATATCAAAAGATTGAAAAATGATGGTTACCATGGCAACCATAACTTCCTTATAAGCCTGATGACCATGCTTGATACTTTGATATAATGGTATCATTGACATTAGGAAGGTTATATGTAAAAATGAGAAAAATTAATTGGGCAGAATTTTTTCACGGACCCTTGCAATCCTTTCCTTAAATGGATAAGGAAATTCGATCCCAATTTGAAAATATCAGCACATAAAATAAGTAGGTTAAATGAATTATATATATATATATATATATATATATATATATATATATATATATATATATATATATATATATATATATATATATATATATATATATATATATATATTGTAGAAGTCCATGGTATAGGTTAAGTTATAAATCAAAATTAAATCCAAGATAAACAAACAAGTTTACGTTTAATTTTTTACACTAAGCGCTTTCGCCGTTACGGCTCTTCAGAGTGTAACAATGATAATAAAAACAATACAACTTCGTTGTTATGACGTCGTTATTATGACGTCACAAAGGCAGCGTTATATATTGGCACAGGTAAATGTCAAAAAAGCGCCAAATGTATATAGTTAAACACATGTACATTGTAATAAAATGGAACATTTCTTTAGAGTTAAAATGTTCAATTAACATTTAATTTAGGCTGAAATAATTTCACAAAATAATCTTCCTTGGCCCTCCGTAATTGTTCATTATCTTCTTTGATATATATATATATATATATATATATATATATATATATATATATATATATATATATATATATATATATATATATATATATATATATAAAATTCAAGATGTCCTTGGTATAGGTATGTACATATAGAAAAATAATCCAGAGTTTGGAAAAGATGATCACATTTTATTCGAAAGCGCTTTCGCCATTCGGCTCTTCAGTGGATTTTGAATAACAATAGCCACATGACATGCTAACGTCGTTATTATGACGTCATAATTAAAGGACAACGTTAAAATTTGGCGCAAAAAATGTCCGTAGAAAGCGCCAAATTAAATAGACTTGACACTGTAAATGATACATATTTGCACAATAATAATCAATGATTAATAAATTTTAAAAAATTTTTAAAAAACAATATTAACAGTCATTGATTAAATCAGAACATTTATCTGTTTAGTTTAGGCTTAAATTTATCAATGAAATATTGTTCTTTGGCCCGCCGTAACTGTTCATTTTCCTCAGTAACTTTATAAAACGGAAAGATACTAAAACGTCCTTTACCGCATTGTTCAAAATGTTCGCTGCACGGAGTATTTCTTACGGAAGGGTCCCTTATCTGCTGTTTGTGTACTCTAACACGGTCGGATATTTTATTCCCCGTTTGACCAATGTAATTTTCTCCGCAACCACGGCAAGTCATGCAATAAATG